CACTCTTCCTGATCTCTCAGGTTTCGGCTATTCTCGGTCTCATTCACGGCTCAGTTGGATTAGGCTCCTAGGGAAGGAGTGTTCTCCACGCCCCTTAACCCATAGGTTCCCTAACCTCTCTTGTACTCGACCAATCACTCAATGCCATGGGTTGCTCGTCAATCCGTACTCAAGGTTTTCCTCACTCAAAAGCATATTCCTTGTTCCATCCAAAAATTCACAATACGCCCTCACCCAATTGGTCTCATCCAAAATCTCATGTGTTTGTCTTAGGTACCCAAGGTAGCTCATCCAAAAACTAGCCTAAAAAAAACAATCTTCTACTTTAGCGTGACACAACCTTGGCTGGCCCTCTTTAGCAAGCTTGCCCATATTATACACGTTCTCGTTATTCTCATGTCTCTGCAGACAGAAAAGCAGCGATCCCTTTCAATGTTAGGTCAACACATAGTTCCTATTGCTGCCTTGCGCCTCGTCTTGCCCAGTTCCTTGTCCACCCCGTTCCTTGGCAGGCTTCCTAACCCCCAGGCCGTAGGTCTCGATCTCTCTTTTCATCCTTACAATTTTATGCAATTCTGCCTCGTTAAAAAAATCCAGTGGTGTGGCTTTCACCCCTGCCCTTGCAAGTGCCCGAGTCTTGATAATCCATTCGTGCCTGATTACATTGGTCCATTGCTGAAACCAATGACTGGGCGTTGGCCTGAACCCGTCCTCCCATCTGAAAGCCCCATCGCCCGGTTGGTGCATCGGAGGCCGCCCCTCTTCCCTAGGCCTTGAGATCTCATCCCTCTCATCCCCGCTGCTGATTTCTATGACTCCTCGCACATCCTCCTCCTCGTCCCCCTCGTCTTCAGTCTGTATGGGGCTATACTCATCAGCAAGGTTCTTTGGATCGTAGGTAAAAGGGATCTCTGTCCCCGTCCCATACCCCTCGCAACCGTCGTGACCGCTTCGTTCCTCAATCGGGCTCTCCCTTTTCTCCTCGTCCTCCTCACGTTCGTCGTGCAAACCTTGTCCCCCCTCGCTTTCCCCATGCCAAGCCTCACGTGGTTCACGTCTATTGGCCCCTTCCTCGTTAGAGATATGAGCCTTATCACCCATTTCTGTGTTGCCTCTTTCTTCTACATTTACCCTTCCCTCTTCGCCCTCACTGTCAGATGATATTTCTATACTCTCTCCCTCGCGGAGGGGTGAGGGTTTCCTACACAAGCATTTCCTTCCACCCCTGCCTACCACTGGCCCGCCCATGAGCCAATTGTATAATTTTTTCTTCGCCGTCCTCCTCCCTTGGCTTGGTCCAGCTTCTTCCCCTCCGGTAGGCCTGTTGATTGCCCCGCTGTCGTTCTCGTTGCCGAATTTTATTTTTGTCTTTTCTCGTTTTACTCCTAATCCCTGTATAACAAGACAACACCCGCAATGTCCCTCATATACTTACGCCTCCCCCCCCCCCCTTAGGCCGGTAGACATTTCCAAAATGCACCTAGTATCCCTCGCATCACGCCCTTTTTTTGTTTTTTTACATGCGCATGCGTTGTTTGTGAAGACCCCACATTTTTCCCGTCAAAAACTATGGTACAATGCCCCAAGCATCCCTTCCCGTTGTCACACAAGCCAGATATTGCAAACCCCCAAGTCATGCTACCTTTCAACCTCAGTCAGTCCAAGCCAAAGCACCAGTAAAAAAAAATGACAGTCCCACGAACATGGTCAGAGATAAGTCATAGTGCGGGCAAGGCTGTGGTTAGTCTTTGGCTTGTGGCTCCTCTGTTTCCTTATCTTCGGCCTCCTGAAGCCATTGTTCCACTTGGTCCCGACTTAGAAACTGACCAGTCGTTGTCGTGGGAAGGGCCCTTTCAATCCAATCCCATCCAAATCTTCTAGTTTGAAGGTGTTCAGTCTCACCCGTTTGGCGACCCGGTAGGGACCTTTGAACCTCCTTCCCAACTGTCCCGACCAAGTACTTTCTAGTGTCGAGTTCCTTAGCAACACCATCTCCCCCACCTGAAGTGGCTCCTTTCTGACATTCTTAACATGGTCCCACCTTGCTTTGTCCCTCATTCTACTGTCCAGCACCCGGCTGGCGATGTCTTCCACGCCCTCCTCAATCTTAAGGATTTGTTGACATCTTGCCTCGATTAACTCTTCAGTAGTCATTTGCGGATCATCATCTAACCTATTCCAGGTAGGTACCAAAGCTTCCACAAGAAAGTCTATCTCTCTTACGTACCAAAGCTCTGCCGGTATACATCCTGTTGTCCTTTTAGGAGTCATATTCTCTGCAAAGACAGCCTGCTTAAGATACCTGGGTCAGTTCCCTAGATGGTCTGCTGCGAGCTTTGCAATCGTATTTTTCAAGGTCCGGTGCCCCCTTTCCACAGGTGCATTGGCCTCAGGGTGATACGGCTCGATGAGTTTGATCGGAACGCAGAGTCTCTTAAGCATCCCCAATACTTCTTGGTTTACAAATTCCGTCCCATTGTCTGCTATAAACCTCCTGACGAACGGATGCCTTAAGTAGAAGTCTTCTACCCAGTCTGCCACACTCCTCCCTGTCTTTTCCTTGAGGGCGACTGCCTCCACGAACCCACTCAAGTTGTCTCGCTCATCCTGGATATACCTGTACCCATCCGTTGATACAGGCATGACTGCAAGGTCAAGGTGAACCAGATGTCCAGGCCCTAGCACCCGCGTTGGTCTAAGCGTCTCGAAGACTCGTACCGAGCTTCGTTCTTGGCAAATAAGGCAAGTCTGGCAGTATATGGCGACCATGCCTGCCATGCCTGGCCAATAATAGAGCGGCGTTATTTTTGCAAGTGTTCCTTTGGACGACCAATGACCTCCAGCTAACCCGTCGTGCATTGCCTGGATAACGTCTACTTGCCTAGATCTTCCGCACACAACCCTTCTGGGCATAGCACCTACCTCCCTTCGGAACAAATGCCCGTCCCTTAGGACGTACCTTTCGGCTTCTTCTCTTGCCTTAATACTGACTTCCGTAGGTTGTTTGTTTCCTACCAATAACAATCCGATCTCCCGAAAGAGCCCTTCGTAGGATTGGACATAGAAAACCCCCTCTCCTTCCTTGCCCCCATCCTTTCCTTCCTGCATCTGATTTACCACCCATTGCAACTCTTTCCTTTCCCAAGATTCCACTAAGCTCATTACTGCCTCCAGGCCTCCCTCGACCGCCATTGCCATTAGCTCCTCCTTCGGTCCAACTATCGCTCCCCATGAGTCATTTTCTTCTCTGTGTCCTCGAGTGGTGACTGGTCCTTCTGTCAGTTCTGCTACTACGGCAGGTGCCCCCTTCTCCAAAGTCTGGATCAATAGTTCTCCCGATGTGCAATCTCCGCTCATCATTTCGTTGTCCACCGCAAGAGGTCATCCTTCGTATTCGAGGAAGGCGTCTATGGGCTCTGCATCCTCCATCCCTTCGGGAGTGATGCAAACCTGATTCAGCCCATCTGCCTTATTGCGGATTCCAGCAATCCGTTCGATCATGTAATCGAACTGTCAGATGAAGCATACCCATCTCCCTACCGTCGGATCTATAGGCCTGTAATTCTTTAGAGCCCATGCGACATTCGTCGGATCGATCCTTAAGATGAACCGACTCCCAAATAAGTAGGCCTGTAAGGTCTTAAGGCAATGTAGGACGACTAGGACCTCTTTCTTGAATTGCGAGTACCGCCGTTCTGCGGAGTTCAGGGTTCTACTTTCGAACCTAATCGGCCTCTCTTTGCCTTCCTCATCCTTTTGAATCAACATACCTCCTACGGCCAAAGGTCCTCCATCAGTCTCTAGGATGAAGGGTCGTCCCACTTCGTCATTAAAACAAGGCGCGGACAAGGCGACTGTCTCTGATGTCAATATGTCATTGAGCCTTTGGACAACTCCTTCTCGCTCCTCCGTCCAATCCATGGTTTCTTCTTCCCTGATCATAGCCCGGATAGGCTCAACAATCTTCGCAAAGTTCTTAATGAAGATCCTCCAAAAGCCGACTACACCTAGGAATGCCCTTACCTCCGTTGTCGTGCCCAACGGTGTCGGCCATTGTGATATCTTGTCGGTTTTTGCCGGATCCGGCTTACTGCTGTAAGCACCGCAACGAAATCCTAGTATAGTTACCTCCGGTACTGCTAGGATACTCTTCGGAGTAGATCCTTGATGTCGTGCAGGTGGTCCCACACAAAACGTCGGATCCCTGGCTGGACTTCCGTCTCGTCCTTCTCCTGCGCGCCTTTGATCGGATTGTCATCGATGTAAGGTTCACATTTTTCTGGGAACATGTCCCTGGCCATAGCGAGCATCCTGCATTACGCTTCGGCCACCGCGTTTGTGAATCCCATAGGTGTCACTTGCATCTGTAGCTGGCCTACGGGGGTGTGCATAGCGGTGTATGGCCTGTCCCAAACATCCAATGGAAGCTGGTCGTACCCTGAGTACAGATCTATTAGGGAGTAAATGCTCCGACCGGCGTGCGATTCTGCTAACAAGTCAGCCTGAGGTAGCGAGCCAGCATCCCGGATGGTTACCGCATTCAACTTTTGTAGGTCCTGAATCCACCTTAGCGTCTTGTTAGGCTTCCGAAAGACGAACCACCGATTTGCGTATGGCGATGCCTTAGGCTCCGCAACGAAGGAGTCCATCTTCGCTCGGAGGAGGTCTGTTACTTCTCCTGCTATCCCAAATTCATAGGACGACCCCTTATCATTCCAGCACTCATGTTCTACCGTATGGATTCTGACCGAAGGGATCAACTTCGCATCCAGTCGTCCCTTTTGGTGATCACTAAAGGCGAATGCCAGGTGAAACTCCTGGCAGGTCCTTTTGATCAGGCGGGTTTCTTCTTCCGTTAAGAACCCGTCTATCCCTATCTTCATTGTGTCCGCTACCTCATCTGGTATCCGATGTCCCTCCGTCGCCCTTCTCTCTCGGATCACTCGAAGGACCTCTTCCTCCTTTTCCATAGCCTCTTCCCTTGACGTCTCTAGCAGGATCGAGACCGGTTTTGCTTTCCTCCCTACTGGCTTGTACTTTCGAACACTTCCTTCCGGGATCTTTCTCCTAAAAAATGAACAGTCGGAATTGCCCCCGTGGCCTCTACGACTCGTGGTTGAATACTAACTAGTTTCCCATTCATGCAATATCCCTTTTGCACCTCTCTTTTGAACTTGGCCAAGGCTGCCGAATCCACTTTTACCTTGTGGTATCTGAGGGCCTTGATGAGTTGCAATAGATCGGGAATCTCGAGTGCAATTTCCGGCACGTCTATGCGTACTTCTTTCCGTTTGGGCAGGCTAGCACCAAGTTCGACCTCTGACTCCTTTTCCGCTACCATAACACCTAGGACTTCGTCCTCCTGCCTCCTCTTCTTCTGGGGCAGGCCCATCTTGATCCACTCTTTTTTGTTGAATGTTCCCTCAATCATGATTTCTACCCTTTCTCTCATACCCTCCATCCGTGCGAAAGCCCCTTTCCGCGTGCTATCCTCGAACGACGGCGACCATGTTGCCAGCTTCCCCTTCGGGGGGTCTCCTACCGTTCCAAGGAGTCGAAGGAGCTCGCCCCGGCCGGTCATAGGGTCCTTTATATCTACCATGTACGAGCCATCGTGCAAGTGCATGCCTATCATCTCTACGTTCGCGCACCACGGTCTCCCGAGGATTATGTCGTGGTCCATTTCCTCCATTACGGTCATCCGCTGAAACGACCAGACCGATTCCCTGACCCCTGCCTTCACAGCACACTTCGTGACGTACCCAGCAAACAGGATTTCCCCGCCAGCTCCCCGGATGCTCCCTGTTACTTCCTTGTTTACCGCACATCCCGTGATCGTTGCGAAATCTCTCCTTATGAGAGTGATTTGTACTCCCCCGTCTACTAATGCGTCGGTATGATGCGTCCCAATCTGGATTTTCAGCTTCCCTACGGGCAGCGCATGAAAGCTAAGCTTTCTCCCCGGTGGTAACCTCATGACCTCGCCGCCCTCTCGGTCGGGCAAACTCAAACGAATATCCGCAAAAACTTTCTCGAGATCCTCCAAGTCCCCGCGASTCCTCTGAAGGTTAGCCACTTCTTGCGGAACTTCCTCCTCCTTCTCCCCTTCTGGTAATTCGGGGTTGTCGCCTATTTCTACTTGCCACCGGGTCAACAATTGTCTAAGCCCTTTGAGCAACCTAGGGCTAGCCTGCAGCATAGTCTGAAAAGACACCGACACCATGGTTCCTAGTAACTTACTAATGGTGTCGTCGATTTCTGGCAAGGATAAGATCGGGATTTGGCACCTAAACTTCTTCTTGGCAGCGGTAACTTTGTCGGCAGGCTCCTCTTCCCTAGGTTTTCCATAGACCCTTTCCGGTTCCTCGGCCTCAGGCTCTGCTTGGGGTTTCGAACTTCCAGCAACCTCCTCCATCACGGTGTCGCGGTTAATCCTTCTCCCAGCCGTCCCTAGCCGAGTAGTCGCGTTCACCCTATCACGTCCGTCGTTTTCCAAAATAAAATTGACCTGCAGCCCGCGCCCCTGGCGTTGATCCCAGATGATCTCCCCCACCGGCTCGGCTTCTACGGCTGTTATTTTTAGCCCGTTGAGCATGATAATGGCTCGCCACATCCCTCCTGGCGAGTTCCAGTTCACCCGTTCCGCTTGTGGTCCAAATATCTCCCCCTTTAACGACCTGGTACACCTTATTTTCATAATATCATGGTTGAGCTTTGGGCAGGCGCGCACATAATGTCCTATCGCGGTGCAGTACTTGCATTGCTCGTTAGCAGGATCTCTCTGTCCGTATCCCCGGTTTGCTACACCTGGCGGGACCACAGCTTCCTGGGGAGGGAGGGCAGGTCGGGATACTTGCGCTTGCATAACCATTAGCGCGCCTTCCATCCTTTCAATCTTATTGTCGACCCCGTTCACCCGCTCATGTAGACTTTCAATCCCTTTCTTTACCTTGTCGCCCGTCCTACCGATCAGATCTATGATCTCTCCTTCCTTGAGCAAGGCCAACGTCTCCCTTACTACCATTTTCTCAACCAAATCTGTTACCGTGCTAAGATCAACATCCCACGTGTTTACGAACTTGCTCGTCTGTTGGTAGGCTGACAGGATCTTGTCTTTGTCGAACTCGGAGAACTGCCTGAGGAAATATTTGCTCATTATCCGGTYCGTGACYCCGGGGATCCTTAGTGCTACTAGAGTAAATTCYCGTAGRAAATCRTTGTAYRTTGCGAAGTTYTTCCTCTGAACTGCCGCTAGGTCGGCCTCCGTTGCCATTTTCTCCGCCGCTAGGTACTTCCTCATCATCACATCCCGGGTCTCCTTCCAAGACCGGTTTGCGGCTACAGTGACCATTATGTCCCGTCCTAGGCTTAACGACACATGCTGTCCTAGGTGGTCCATCTTTTCCTCCTCGGTCCACTTTAGTACCGCAGCTAGGTTTTGTAGTCGATCAGGAACTCCTTGATGTTTGCTCCATCAAAAGTCAGCTTTTTCTTGGCATCTGCCAGATAGCCTTTATTTTTGTTTAGTGCTCGTGCGAGGGACGACACTATCTTCTTAAGGCCGCCCTCGGAGCTGCTGGCCTCGCCTACCACACTGCTATCCGGGCTCTCCTTGCCGGCCTTCTGTCCCTCCCTGGTTTTCATAGTCCCTTCCGGGTCAAACCATCCCAACACTCTTTCCCTAAGGCTCCAAAGTCTTTCGCATCCTCGCGCTACTGCTGGCGTGATCGGCAGGCGGCTAGCCCTACTATCCATCATTTCCTCAATCAGTCTTGCCTTGTATTCGGCGGTTCTCTTGTCTATCTCGGCTAGTTTGCGCCTTGTGTCCGCGACCCTTACTTTCTTAGGCATGGCTCATTCCGAGTTTCGGGGACTTGTCCTATCCTTATTTCTGCCTTCCTTGGTCCCCTGGGTCCCTTGCCTGCTTCCCCCGGCTTTCCCCGAGCTTTCTCCTGTGGAGATTTCCTTCCGGTTCCCTTTGGTACCATCCGGATTTATCGATTCTCTGTCCTTCTGCCCCCCTTCGCTTTGCGCGGCACTGCCTTCCAAGCCTAGTTTTCCTTCACTCTTATGGTTATCTGTCTCCTCCTCCGTTGCCATTTTGCCTAGTTCTGCATAAGCCAAAGAATTCCCAGGACACACGCAATGCGAGGTTTTTAGGTTCCCTAGGCCCCTAGCTCTGTTGGCTTATCTTTATAGTCTCCTTTCCTATCCCCGTTTCCTGATTGCCCTTCCTTAAGGAGGAGCCACGAATGGCCCTGCCGCCCAGCCGAGCTATGAACGTGACTGGGCTTCCTTTATCACAAGCCCGTTTGAAGTGCCCTTGTCCCGTCGGCCGAGGCGAGGGAGTCCGGGTTAGGCATCCTGCTAGGGGAAGCCTCCCTGAGGAGCGTTTCCCGTTTTTTTTACCTTTCGGGTTATGGTCACTCATTAGGAGTCTACCCTCTTCTTTGTTTTTCTAGTGGGTTTTAGCCATCTGGGTCCGAGGCCCCTTTCTTATTCCCATTGGCGGTTTTCCGTACGCAGCGAACTATACTAGATSTGCCCTATTGGCCTGCCTGCGGATCCTAGTCCTGCTCGCGCCCTCGTGGTTCTTCCGGTTCGGTCGGCTCCTCGAATAGCTCAGCCACCCCTGCCAAATAGCTCTCTCCTAATCTCGATCTCCCTTTGGATTATGCGTTCGTGCCCTGTCTGGTCTAGCCAGGGTGTACGAAATATCAGGATATGGATGACTTCCAGTAACTCGTGGGTCCTGTTTCCCCAGAACGGCCCATGCCTCACGGCGACATCATAGAACATCCCGATGGTTAGAGAGGGGAAGTGGTCTGCCCACATTATTGCCGAGTCTGCCAGCTCCCTCGCCCTTGCGAGGCTTCCGAAGACGAGATCTATCATAAAACGGGGGACGCGGCACCTCAGCGGCGTGGTTGGTACTCTGAATTCACGCCATCCCCTCATTTCCACCCGGGTAAGTAAGCCCACGTTCCTTCTACCCCTGACTGATTGTCCTATCCGGGTCAACATCCGGGCGGCCCTTTGAAAAACCGGCGCCAGCTCGTGACCTTGTGTTATCTCTACCCCCAACTAGTGCTAGCCGATCTCAGGCAGATACATGGTTCCGGTAACTTCCAGATTGGAAAACAGATCATCCTCGGGTCCTCGGTCGAGTCTCATCCCTGTCCACCGACATTCTACCAACATGAAGGCGGCGTCCCTCCCCAAAGTCACAGCCCGCCATTCTATATCGAACCCCCGATAAGTTGAACTCGACGGGAGGGATACTTCCCAACGTCCACCGTTATTCCACGGCGGTCCGGGGTACCGGGGTTGGCGCGCCAGTCGCACACGGGCCTGAAGTTCCACATGCTCACGTTTTGCTGCCATGGTTACCTTGGTGATTTCCTGCATGATCCACATAGAAAGTGTTACAGCCAATCCTTAGAAATCGTCCACCTACTGCCCCCTTGTCCTTCGTGTTTTCATTTCCCTTTCTAGTCCCAACTATCCCTCTATACCCCTGGGAGCAGTAGCCTCCTCGGGCTGTTCATACAGCCGGTAGAGATCATCTATGTAGGTCGCGCCCCGATCTACCTCTCATCGGATGAATCTCCACATGGTCTCATCACTTATTTGCGGGACTCCTGGCCTAGTATTCACCGCTGCTCGTAGAATGCAAAGCACCTCGCCCCCTTGTTCGTCCCCGAAAAGCCCCATCTCTAGAAAGGCCCGATAGTGCTCTCGATACATTATCGCTTCGTCAAAATTTAGCCTACTTACAGCAGTTATCGCCTGCTCCACTCGTTCTATACCTCCCATTTGTCTTAGCAGGAAGGGCGGCAGACTCATCTGTACGATCTCATTCGGCAGCTCAGAGACCCCTGCTGCGGCGACTTTTACCTCAGCCGTCACGTCATCTCGTTCCGGATCTGCAAACTCAAACCCCTCCCGCCAGGTTATTTGCCATGCTCCTTCGAACATTCGTACGGGGTCATCCCCGAAAGCCAAAGCAATCCCAAAGGTCCGCCATCCCTCTTCCGACAGGTGTAAGGATCCCGTCGCGTGTACACGCCCTGGGCGGTTCAAGTCTACGCCCCCGAACTCCCCTCTCGCCTGTCATTCTAGCTTCACTACTAGGTACACAGTATCTTCCACCAACTCTACCCCCACCCAGTCCATTACCGGATTGCCTACCGTATTTCTCGCCGTCAGGCTTATTTCGACCCTGCCCTCTGATATTCTTGGTGGCAGGATCCCACGAGGTCTATCCGCCCCTAACGTCATTCGCCGGGCCATCTCGCAATGTCTCCTTTCCTGCTTTCTTAGTCCGATAGCTGCACCCACCGAGATTCTATGCCTTTCGTGTTTTAGTCTTTCAACCCTCCCTACTTATTGTACAGTGGTTCCTGCCGCTATCCGCAACTCATACACGTTCAATTCTACCCGACCCCCATTTTCCAGTTGTTGTCACTTCCCCCTTGTTTCGATCCTTATGCACCATCTACGACCTAATGTACACATTCCCTTTCTTATGTTACACCTTACTTTACAAGCACCCTCCTTACTCAGGCCTTTTCGTTGTGTTGGATTCCTTGGCCTCATTCAGTCGAACCACAGTACCTCAAATAGTTTAAAGACGCAGTCTACGTAGGAGGGTGCAGCCACCGCCTCCCGGCTAACCATGGCGTCCCAAGACTCCGCCTCCACCTCTAGGCGGTCATACCTGCCTATTCTTAGGACCATGATGACTTCCTCGGCTTTATCTTTGTAGAAGGGTCCACATTTCAATGAGAGCCTATAGAACTCCTCAGTCAACCAGGCACACTCTATATGCACCCTTCTCATGGAGGCGGCTACTTCAAAAATGTGCAAAACCCCCCCAAACCACTCGGCTATGAATTCCGGTACCCAAGCCGTTATCCGTAGACTTGGAGGTTAGAGTTCCTTCCACCCTCCCATCACAACTCTGCTACTAACTTCGTCTTATCCCTCGTTGGCGAACAGCTTGCCTTCCTTTCGCGTTCGGGCCTCTTCATCCCCTAGAAGCCACATCGGGTCCTGTCCCATTACTAACATGGTGTAAGACAGGTGTCATCCATCCTCGGAAAGGACAATCGTTCTAACTGACTCTACCTTGCCTTCTGCTATATCATCCCAACCTTCCTCTTGCCTTATCGGGTTCCGAATCCGCTCTATCCATACATATAACAAGTCCCGGACAACCTCAAACCCAATCCAGTCGCAGGTGGTCCCTCTTCATCCATTTCCTGTTGGTATAGGCATTTTTATTCCTCCTCCGAGTCGCCGTGGTTCCCAGCCGTTGAAGGGGTATTCCATCATCCTTTCTTCTCTAGTCATCTTTTCCTTTCCTGCACAATACCAGGCCACCCGTCCTCCCTAAGTTAAGTTTCCCCACCCGTCTTAGAAGTCTTAGTCCTCTATCTCTTCGTCTTCATCTTCATCACTGAAGTCGTCCTCCTCGTCGTATACGTACTTTCTTACCCCATCTAGAAACGTCTCCCCTATTGTCACATTCCTGTAGACTATCCCCCAATGCACAGCGCTAGGGACAAAGATATTGTCTATGCTAAGGCAGTTTAGTATCTCGGTCAGCTCCTCCGCCCAGTTCCCCTCGAACGGCCCCATTTCTACTGATAACCGAAAGAAATTTTGCCTAGCGCGTTGGTATAGCCCGAGGTTCACCGTGGACTGGCATATCCGTACTAACCTGCTCTGGGTCCCGAAAACCACATCCACTAGGAAGGAGGGCAGCACACATCGCATGGTTCTTACGGGTCGCCTCATGCTTCCTCTATCCCCAAGTTCCACCCGTACGTCCAATTTTTCCATTTCTATTTCCCTTCGTTGGCATGCAGTCCACACAACCTCTGCTTCTGCTTTCCTAAACAACTCGTCCGGCGTATTCCGGAGTGCCAACTCTATGATCATAGCTTTCTCCCCACCTTGCGACAAGTAGACCCACCCCCGGGCTTCCAATGTCCCTCGAAATTCCAAATCCATTAAACTTGGAAACAACCTCGTCAATCTGACATTAGTCCATATGGTTTCTATCCAAAGGAAAGCATCCTATACTTCCAGCATTACCGTTTGATACGCTGGTTCAAGGTCCGTCCACGTTCCATTTTCCGGGAGGACGATCGATACCCCATCCTTTACATCTACTGGCATTTCCGGACCGCTGATATAGATCGGGGAAGGCAACCATCGCGCCATCTTGTTTTCAGCACCCGACCCCTGTTTTCATAAAAGGGCACCAACTGATCATTTTGGTCAGGTCAACCCTTGTCCTAGATGAGAATTATGTCAGACCCCTCATCAACATCTCCCTATTTTACCTCCCCTTTCCTAAAAACCCCCTTCCTACAATTCCCTCGGTCAGCCATCCATTTGC